AACAATTATTATGAATGGGACCATATGGCATCTCGTTGAAGAAGTGTGCTTATTTTCCATTTCAGGATTTCTGTAGGCTCTTTATTGATACTCGCTTGCATTAATTTATCATCTTGTGCCTGCATCATCTTTTTTACATAACGAACCCTATCCACGACCACTTCTGCTCCTCCCTTGTCTTCCCCTGACACTATTTGTTGGTGGTCTCTTAGTTTTTTGTTAATATTGTTTACTCTACTATTCATTTGTGACATCTCTAAAAGCCACCAGTCGCCTCTCCTTAAGCACAGACACAAAAAATACGCACAAGCACACACGAACACACACTGGTGACCTATACCTGGTCCATCTATACCGGGTAACTCTTTGGTAGATTTCAGGTTTGGTTCCTCTCACTGCAATTGCCTTTTCTTGACTTCCATATGTTCCTCATGAGCCTCTCTTCGGCACTGTCTCTTCCTGTTTTTGAACAGTTGTCCTTGGTCCAAGAGTCTTCTTTCTGATGTCTTCGCTGAATCTGCAAGTCTGCCCAGGCAGTATGCGAACTGATCACTGACTGCCCTCTCCTAATCTCCGGCTCATCGGGTTCCTTTGAAGAAGGATGCCAACAGCTTCTCTGATTTTCCCTTTTCTGGTATTCTCTCCAAATGAGGCCGGTCGTTCCGTCGCATTCCAGACAATTGTGTGGCCGGTAAGGGCGATATGTTCAGCTATCTCCGATCTTTCCGTATTAATCTTTTTTGCATAGTCGCTGGTGTTCTTTGATCCTTGTGCTAATTGTCCTTCCCATCTCTCTGGTGTATTTTGTTTACATTTCTTAAGGTTGATGCTGTAAACTCTGGAGCACTTCACTTTGTTGAATTCTTCATGTTGGCAAGGCAAGCTGACGAAGATGGTTGCCCTTTCCCGTCAGTGGGAAAACCTACTGGCTTATTTGTACACCTCTTCTTCAAGTACAACACTTCCTCTATTAAGCTATCAGTTCAACAACAATTTAGTTTCCGCCTAATCCTACGTTTCCATTTCACTCAGTTGAATGTGAGTGCATGAGATAAAATTCCATCTTATGACATGCCCAGCTTGATTTGTTTATTGTTTGCCAACTGTGATTACATGGCATCCGGACCGACGTCAGGTGAATCTGAAGTAGTTCTAAAACCTGAAATGCATACCTCTGATGGTAACCTATTCAGACTTTTGCCATCCATCATTTCTATGTTCCTAGATAGCTAATCCTCTGCCAACTGGTGAAATAGTTTCATTGAATAGTTCATTCTAACTGCAATCGCATTCCCTTAATTTCCATCCATCCATCCCTCAAGATAATCTTCATAGATATGTATTTTCTTACCAATTGAAGGATGTTCTTGACACAGACACGATAATTTAGAGCATAATAATTAGGACTCAAAAATATAAATCTAGGGCCATTTTGACGTCATATGGACAATGCCCATTTCGAGGGCACATAATAATTATCTGGAAGTTTGATATGAGCTACAGTTCTTGCCTATCGTCGGCCTATTTAACCTGATAATGCTGTCAACAATTCTTATCTGGCAAAGTGAGTGATCAACTGCGATCAATTAGCATTTGCCCAGGAATATAGCCCTGTTTTTCCGACCGAGACACCAGGTATGATGCACGTAACTATTCACAGTACCAATAAAGTTAAATAAGAATAGAAGTGGGTTGACCTCGTTGTCGCAACTTGTGTTT